ATAAAATGATATATTTTTTATCGTAATTTATTTAAAGAGAAGTTGAGAAATATTAATTAAAAGTCATATCAAAATTCTTAACCTACATTGCTGATCATTTCCCGATTCCAAACTTTTGTCCAGTGAGTGTACATGTAATATCAATCATTCGTCATCAAACAATAGCGATAACATTTGGCGGAAACTTACATGTAATGTATATAAAAAATCGTTCGTCCTCTTTGAACATATCTCAAATATGGCAGACACTAATACAGACATGGAATCAAATAATGGAAGAAGAGTTTTTTCATTCAACATCCGGAATTGAGAGAATACCTTTCGAAAAGTTTACTAATATTGAAATGATTGTCAAGGGTGGATTTGTGAAATGTACAAAGCTGTTTGGGATAAGAAAAAAAATTACATTAAAGTCAGCACAGACAATAGAAGAATTACTGCATGATGATGTTTAGATAAGTATGCAAAATTCTTATTGTCTTTATCTTTTGTTCTTATATAATAAGAATTCAATAGAGACTAAATTGACCAATAAATGTGCAGAAAGACGGTAAAAACTATAAAGATTATTATTTTATTTGATATCTATTAATTAACTTCACTTTTTGATTAGTGATGATGCACGTAAGAAATCAACGATTTTATTTTACACTTTCCATCTACGTTTTAGTTGATATTAATTTGTAAGATTAATCCATTATTCTATTTTTATTTAAGGTGTTATATTTAGATTTAGTTTTATTTGAAATCTATTTTAATTTTAGTTTATATTAATTTGTTTAACTAATACACTATCTTATTACATGTACATGTATAAATAATACTAATATTACGTAATTTAAAATATCATGTCTGCGTCGAAATTGCTAAACAATACCTCATGGCTAAAAAGGCGCAGCAAAATTAGCGCACAATAATCGCCATAACATTGTTTAACTCAATAAGACAAGCAAATTCCCTCAGAATATATACAATACACAAAATGTGCGATTGGCATCCTCAACGCGTTTTTACCAGTTCGAAGATTTTGTAAACTATATAAGAAGGTGATGTCCTTCTCAGCAGTCTCAATAAGAATTTCAAAAAGTATAGAAAATAGGCTTTTAAACAATCCTCGAAAAAACTAAATCCTCGAAACTATCTTCTCAAACCTTTTTTACTTCTCTCATAACAACAACGGATGCCATTGTGAAAATAACTGTCAATGCGGAGCAAACGCTACTACTGCTTGTACCTGCAAGGTGAAGAATGTGAAAGAAACAACAGCTCAGAAACGTATGGTTTTTTTCACTTAAAATGCCTATCCATTATTCTAACCAGCATTTATTTACATGTGTATATAACTTTGTTTTGTCCAATTGCGATAGTAGTGGCGGACATACTTGCAATTGTGGTGACAAATGTAAATGCATCGCTAACGGAAACGAATGCAAAAGTAAGTCTTAATTATTTGACTACCTATATAGCAATAAATGCCTAGCATCATAACATACAATACTTTTGTAGCATTTACACGTACGTTTATGTAAATTATGTTATTCCTTAGCGTAGTCTATAAATCATGACTTATTTAAATTTGGAATTAAATAAAGCATGACTAGCATTTCACGTAAAATTCATCTATAATCATTTGATTCCTTTCTTACCTTTAGCTTGCTTTCACAAAGAAGTTTTTACACCTCGTATATAAATGGCAAGACAGTAACCACACCAAATTAATAATTTAATGCTATTATAGCTAACATATCCAGTAATCTCCAAACGACGTGACGAAAACTGCAAGCAATTCAATATTATTAGGTTAATATAAGTTTTAAATTTTATATACTTTATAATTAAAAAATAACATGTTTTTGATCAACGTTTGTCACTTCTTTTGTAACTTATTTTGTATTAGACATATTAACTCAATAAAATAGTTTTGAAATTTGACAGCGTATATATTCCTGGCAAAATGTGCATTATAAAGGGAATTACCTAATAAATTTATTAGACTAAATCGTAATTAATGGTAAAGAACATGATTAATCGATATGTTTTAAGTGTCTAACTTTTCCTAAAATGGAACCTTATATATTTGCTCTAATAAAGAATATATTAACGATTAAATCTTAAATCGAATATTTACTCATGAAAGTATTAAATACAGAGTGAATTTAAACTTTTTGATTGAGCTAAGCAAAGAGAGAATTGCAAATTGTGTGACAAACCTCAACATAATATAAATTCAAAAAAGATAAGCGTAATAATCAAATCGGATAAGCTAAAAGATAATGTATTTCAATTTTCATTGGCAATTGTTTGCAAACAAATCATTAAGGCATCATAGGTCAATGATAATTATTCTAGCTGATTGATGATTAATTACCAATGTAGTAAAAATTTTTTTTATTTTTGAGAGATTTAGAAAAGACGTTACTTATGACTGTTACTGTATCATCATTCGGACATAGGCGCATTTATTAATCAGAGATCCGAAACTGTAGAGGTAAGGCTTTACGGATTCAATAATTAAATGATTCTATTTAGGAACCTTTAAGCCTATGCAAATAAGTAATTATCGCGTGTAGGTTTCACATGAATGCCTAATATAAATAATATTACAATATCATGTCTGTCTTATAGCTAAAAAAGCGCAAACAAATGGAGCAAAATTAGCGCAAAGGATCGCCGTACATTATTCGCGAAATTCCCTCAATACATGCAATACACAAAAAGTGTGATTGAACATCCTCAGCATAAATCGCGCACTTTTATCGGCTTGAAGATTTGTAAACTATATAAGAAGGTGGTGTCTTTCTCAGTAATCTCAACAAAAATCTTTTCTTACAAAGTATAGAAAATAGGCTTTTTAAACAATCTTCGGAAAATTAAATCCTCAAAAATACCTCAAACTTTTTTTACTTCCCTCATAAAGATGGATAACAACAACGGATGTCATTGTGGAAATAACTGTCAATGCGGATCAACTGCTACTACTGCCTGCACCTGTAATGTGAAGAATGTGAGAGAAACGACAGCTCGGCATGTGTATGTATTTTTTTTTATTTAGAACACTTATTAATCATTCAAATCAGCATTCATTTACATATGTGCATAACTTTATCTCATCCAGTTGCGATTGTAATGACGGACATACTTGTACTTGTAATTGCGGTGACGAATGTAAATGCACCGCTAACGGAAACGAATGCAAATGCAAATGCGAGTCATAATTATTTGATTACTTTTATAACAATAATTGCATACATATCTTTATAGCATTACATTTTTATGTAACATAACATAATAATTTATGTTAATCATTAGCGTAGTTTCGAAATATGTATGTATACTTGCAATAATAAAACATGATTTTATAAATTCACAAAAAATCTAGTATATAATCATTAGTTTCTCTCCTATTTTTAGTTTTAATTAAAGAGAATTTTACTCCACATATATTTAATATATGCGTCGAGTCACAACTCAAAAAGTCCTGATCGTGTCAATATTAAAAAATGGCAGACAATAACCGCACCCAAATTAATAAGTTTGTTGTCGGATGATAGAAGACTCAATTTATTTATTATTTAGTACTCAGTTTATTATTTTATTTGTAAGAAATGATCTTAAGGCTATCTAGAAATTATTTCAGAATCGAAATTTTACATATTGCAACTGACATAATGATTGGAGTACATGTCACGCTAAAATTGGGATAAACACATTTATTATAGAGATGCTGTATGATAATCACATTTTTCTATAGAAAAATCAATTGCATTACACTTAAAGACAACACTTTTTATTAATAAAATTTAATTACAAAACCTTTATCTATTAGAAATATGGTTTTTTCTTAATGGATTGAAAAATTTTTATGAAAATCTTTTAATTTGAAATTTATCCCGATTACAAACACAATGTACAGTAAATATTGTACCAGACACTTGATTTAGCAATTACAATAATTTATACGCAATATGGATTCGACATTCTATACTGTTAAATAATGACAATATGGATTATATGTCTTTATCAGATTCAGGTTCAAATTCAGCTACTAATAGTGATTCAAGTTATCATTAATAAATGAGGAGTTTAATATTGTTATATCTTTAATTCTAGAAAATGAAATTTAAAGAAGAGTTTGACCTGATTATACTATTTCCAAACTGACAAGTATTGATTTGCAACAAGAAATTGGTACAGATATCGTAGCAACTGAAACATAATTAATTTCTTGCATTATAATAGATAGCTTACGTAATGAAATAAAACATTATAATGACAATATTGTTAGAAGATTAGAACAATTATTTGGAATCTGGGAAATTGATAAAGCGATATTTATAACAAAAAATTCTCAAAAAGAGCTGTGGACATTGGGTGTATTTAGCAAACACTATTAATATCGATAAAAATTATTTACATAACTAAGCTATAAAGAAAACATGACCGATAATTAAAAGTACTATTTATAGCCATTATCTTTTTGTAACAAAACAAGAGGATTCAAATTGTAGTGAACATTTGTGGAATATTTGTGTGTGAAATATTCAACTTCTGTGTATTCAATTACATATATTACGATATTCATGTTAAGGGAATTAGGGAAAAATAGGGAATTAATGTTACTGAGGTAACACTACATACATGTATATTGACATCAATCAAGGGCTAGCTGTTGATTTTGAAGAGCACGAATTTTATGGTCAAGTTTTATACCTTAAAGTAACAATAAATAAGTTTGTATTATATTTAGATAAGTCAAAAGTCATAAAATATTTATTTTCGGAATATAATCAGTAAATTTTAAATTTATCCGGAATATGTCTAGATTAGGTTGACTTTTGATTAAATGGCGCCCGGAACATAATCGGAATATTTTCAAAAATATTTATAGGGATATAGGAGCGTGCTTTTTCTTTGATTCCTCAATTATATTCTAAGCTCGTTGACAAATTTTTCATCTTTGAAAACATGAGTTAAGTGAACAAATTTCTCGAATCTGGGATCAATCACTTCACGCATAATATTTGCAATACCTCATGTGATATTTATTCCCGTACTTACGAATTGTATTATAATCAGCGAAACAACTATAATAAATGGAAGTTATAACAAGAAATACAATTATGAACAAAATCTTCAAAATTAAAAATAAATATGCTTACAGCCAACAAAATTCATATCCACATCTAGGCGCGCGACAAGTCATATGATCGCATCCATTATTCTTTTCAATATTAGCTTTACATCTTGGACACTTTTTTGTCTTAGATTTAATGTAAGCTTTGGATTTTTCTTCGATTTGTCTATTCATATCTTTCTGCAAATTTTCTCTGACCCATTTTGTCTCTTGGAGATTATTTAAGGGTGGTCGTATTTGTAGCACTTGTTGTTGTTGTTGTTGTTGTTGCTGTTGTTTCAGTTTTTGTACCTCCAGATAATTTTCAGCAGTATAAATTACATGATTTTGACTTCCGTTTGAACCATGAGACTTTTTAAAAAGGTTCAATACTTTTTCCTTGGTAGATTCTTTTCGATGAGCATAAAGTTCGTTCCAACGGGTAAAAGTTCCGTGATTCAAATGGATATTATTTAAAGATGGTATTTGATGGTGTTGTGTAGTAGGCTCTATATTGTTAACGTTAAATGCTACGGTTTGGTTGGTGCATTGTGAACAATTCAGCGAACCATCTGGAATTGGAAGTGAATGAATAATACACATTTTCTTCGAGCAGGCTTGACAAGTCATTATCGGTGCTGATTCTTTTATAAGCGAATTACGTAATAAATAGATAGTTATCAGAAATTTAAGCTTTATTTAATATGCTTAAAATTCAATTATTGCATACCTCCTTCATAATGAATCTGGCCAGAACCACAGCTTGAATTCAAACACCAGTAAAAATCTTCCATTTGTGAGAGTGTAGAAATCAGTGACAATTTCTGATATCTTTAAAGTTATAAAATTATATAAATTAATATTTATCTCTTTTCAAAGTTTTTAATAAAAGATGTTCACCTTTCAAAGATCACAGGGCTGGAAAATTTTTTGACATAATCTTCTTTTACCACATTTCTGCAATTTTCATCTGGGCACCTAATTTCAATGTTTCCTTTATCTTGTAACTCGTGTTCGATATGTCTCGTAACACATTCTTGACATATGTTGTTTTCATGCTGACAATTGATCGAAATTTGAATTAATTGTGTCATATCAAAAGTTTCTGTACATATGATACATTCTCTCCTACGTGAAGATGAAGCTAAAGTGGTATTAAGTGAAGGAAGAGGATAGTTTCGTGAAGATGCAGTTGAAGTTGGACTTTGAGTCGAAGCCGGAAGATCGAAAATTGGACTATGTGGATATGAACCTAAAGGACAACTACGTGTAAATGAAGCCGATGTTGAACTTTGATGAGAAGAAATAGAAGTCGGACTATATGAAGTAGATGAACGTTTTTGTAAATGAGTAGGTGAGACTGATTTTGAATTTTGTGAGAAATCCAAAAGAGAAGGATCTTTCATAATAGAGCTTCCTAGAGAGTATCGCGACTGCTTAATCTTTTGACTTTGATTATTCTCTTTCGTACCAGTTGTTGGCTTTATCGAATTGTCCAATACGGTTATGAGATCTTGATACCTATTATCGTTATGGTTATTAATATCTGGATTAAACCCGAGCAACGGTAGCTGTTTACATATATTATCTTCCTTATCAGTATTCGCTTTATTAGTTAAATCAAGCGAAAAAGATTTATAGTGTAAATCTTGGTTTTTGCCATTAGAATTATTAATAGTAAAAGGACTCGGTGAAAAATCTCTAAATGGCAAATTTCTTGCTAGATCATCACTATTATTGTTATTACATGTATTGAGAGAATCTAAGATATGAAATTCATTATTTTGTCTGTCATTATTTTCTCCTACAGTTACTGAACTTGAAGATGAGGTATGCCCAAAATGAAATGATGATAATTGATCCTCTTGTATTTTGTTATATTCTGTTACAGTATTATAGTTGTGGAATGGATTCAATGAGGGATGTCTTGAATCAAACGACGAGTATTCATTCTCATGAATTTTCTCAATACGATTGATAAATGGATTCAATGACACTGCGTCATCTTGATTTTTGCTACTTTCTGCTGCAATATTATGATTGATAATCGGATATCTTAATTGAAAAGACGACAATAATACATTTTCTTGAGTTTCTGTTGCAGTATCATGGTTGATGAACGGATTCAATGAAAATTTTGAAGGAAATGACGAGTATTCACCCTCTTCAGTGTCATTATTGCTTTTCGCATTATTATAATTAATAGTTGGGCTTGAATAAAATAAATCATGATCATTCTCTTGCTTATTATTGTCATTTATTAAACTCATTGTAGTTATTCGTACTTGTAAAGGAAAATGAAGAAGAATCAAGTCAGTAATTCAAAAAGGGGAATTTTTTTTATGACGATTTATTTTGAAATACTGTGCCAATCCAATTTTTAATCATCATCATTATTCTAGCTTTTTTTCTTTGTTAAACACTGTTTATACCGGACCTTCCATAGCGCTAGTATGTAAAATAATAGGTTGCAACATACGTCCTGTATTTCATTCGAAAGTTTCTAGATATTGTTGCGGCTACATGTAGTGTATTAACATGGGAAACCTATTTTTATTATCCAATAATAAATATTTAGTGATCAGAAAAAAATCAAATACTCTATTACATGTATTTATTTTTGTGAAAATTTGTAATTCGTAATTTTATATTCAAGCAACAATTAAAAAATGAGACGTTGATTTCATTGGTGTAATTTAAACGAGGATGAATTCTATCAAACCTGTAATGTGTTGAAAATTATTTTGTGAGAGATTGAAAGTAAATGTATTGGGATTTATCAGTCATACAGTAACGGTAACGGTAACATGTAATCCAAAAATGTACTACCACCTCCGCCGCTATTAAAATTCACCGTGCATTGTAGATTATTTCCAATTTAGTGTATTTTCTCTTGTTCCTATTACGCCATTGTTCTTTCAAAATGTTTTCGCCACAAAAAGAATCATCCTCAGAACTCTGTGAACAAATAATTGATGCATATCATATAGAAACAATACCTTGACTATTCCAAGGAAACAGAACGTGATACAATAAGAAAACATGTTCTCCGCACCTGTGCGTTGAATTGGTTCACAAACCAAAGTTTCCTTCTGAAAATATTTTTATGATCGTAGCAAATAAAATATGCCAATTTAAAATCTTCATACTATTATTGTAAATGCAACGAACAAGTATGATTGCAGCAAAAGTTATTTGATTATTTACAAAAATCTTTTAAATATTACTAAGGATGCAGACATATTGTCGTCAGATTTACGGTATCTATATGTCGCAACTAGGACGCAACATTTTCTCTCGACTCTAACTTTTTTAATTAAAAATTTTAAAATTGCTTTATACAGTAATTTTGCTTTTCATGAGTGATAATTATTAAAAATTTAATCACATTACTTTTTGGTTATTTAAAAATATATATACCGCACCACCAAGAAAAATAAACTAAATCGATTTTAAATTCGCACTTTAATGATTTAATTTAATGGGTCTGGTTCGGAATGCCATTCGCTCGAGATTTCGTTCACTCGGATGCCGTTGTTCGGGATGACGTTCATTCTGGATTTCGTTCGCTCGATATGCCGATCATTTTTGTCGGCTTATGAAATGTCAGGGTCAGAATTTCGTACAACGAATAAAATTCCGAAAGAACGAATCCCGAAAGTATAGTGTACCAAATGCATGGAATACCAAAATTAACACGGGATTTCATGCATTCAGGATGTCATTCATTCGGAAATTCGTTTGTGGCATATATCGATATGAACTGTTGAGATTGTGTTTATCAGGATGAAAATGGCACCAAACTAAATTATTTAAAAGTATCCGAAATTAAGTACCTTATAGTAAAAGGGGGTGCTTAATTTCGAAATGGTACGGTATATAAAAAATTAAGAATTTTTCCCTATATGGGTCTAAGACATTAAGTGGAAAATCATACACTTAAGCTGCAGATATTTATAGATTTGGGATGTTTTGCAACAGGCGAACGACCATTTGGTGAGCGAAGTCATTATATATATTTTGTATTAGATATCTATAAAGGCGTGCGACTTACGATGTTCCCGGACGGTGCAAATTTATTTTAAAAAAATGTTGGGAGAGGAACAGGGAAACTTAATTCGGTCAATTAGAAATGATGAAGACACATGTACGTGGAAACAGAATACATGTACGTGTACTTTGCATTTTAATACATGTGCATACATGTATATTCACAACACACGAGTAAGTTTTGTCACACATAGAATTCATACATGTACATGGTCCCGTACATGTACAATGACAACGATTATCGTTTGTTTATTCACTCATGTTATTCCATTGAACTCAAAGATGGAATCGAATACTCATCATTGTAAAGAATGTATGGGTTGTCAAGAGAATAGATACTGTGATGAGTGCTTAGTTCACAATACTCATGATTGTAGTAAATGTTATCAATGTCAACAAAATAAGTACTGCGATGACTGTCTCAAATATCGCAAACGAATTTATCATAATTTGATGTCTAGCGGAGATACAGATATCGATAATCTAATAAAAGAATACAACAAAATTGATTATGGATATAAAAATATCTTCGAATGGATTCCATTTGAAAGATTTACCAACGTTGAAGATCTTGCAAAAGGAGACTTTGGGTCATTTTATAAAGCAACCTGGTTGGATGGACCATTATATTATAAATATTATAATCTCAAATGGAATCATAAAGAAAATAAATTCAAACGAAAGGGTGAAACAAAAGTTATGTTGAAATCATTACATAGCTCAAAGCAAATTACGCCAGAATTTAAAGAAGAGGTAAAGAATGAACATCTTCTAAATGAAAGATGCTTTTGTTTCTAATACATTTACAATCAAATTTTTCAAAAATAGATTCAAACTGGGCTTAAATGTTATGATTATGGATACTTGATAGCATATTATGGAATGACTAAAAATCCAGTTACAAACGATTACTTGATAGTAATGACTTATGCATTCTATGTTGAACTTCATAAATATAAAGTGAGCTCAAAAATGGAATCGAATACTCATGATTGTAGTAAATGTTATTACTGTCTATGGTATAAATACTGCGATGAGTGCTTAGCTCACAATACTCATGATTGTAGTAAATGTATTATATGTCAAGCAAATATTACTTGCATTGGCTGTTTCTTTTATCACAAACAAATTTATCATGATATAATGTCTAGCGGAGATAAAAATATCGACAACCTAATAAAAAAAGAATGCAACAAAAATGAGTATAGATATCAAAATATATTCGAATGGATTCCATTTGAAAGATCTACCAACGTTGAAGATCTTGCAAAAGGAGGCTTTGGGTTATTTTATAAAGCAACCTGGTTGGATGGACCATTATATTATGAAAATAATAATCCCAAATGGAATCATGAAGAAAATGAATTCAAACGAAAAGGTGAAACAAAAGTTATGTTGAAATCATTACACAATTCAAAGCAAATTACGCCAGAATTTAAAGAAGAGGTAAATAATGAACATTCTCTAAATGAAAGATGTTTTTGTTTCTAATATAATCAAATTTTTCAAAAATAGATTCAAACTGGGCTTAAATGTTATGATTACGGATGCTTGATAGCATATTATGGAATGACTAAAAATCCAGTTACAAACGATTATTTGATAGTAATGACTTATGCGTCCTATGTTGAGCTTCATAAATATAAAGTGAGCTCAAAGATAGGATCAAATATTCATGATTGTAGTAAATGTTATTACTGTCTATGGAAAAAATACTGCGATGAGTGCTTAGCTCAAATACTCATGATTGTAGTAAATGTATTACATGTCAAGGAGATTATTATTGCATTGGCTGTTTCTTTTATCACAAACGAATTTATTATGATATAAATTCTAGCGGAGATAAAGATATCGACAATCTAATAAAAGAATGCAACAAAATCGATTATAAATATAAAAATATATTCGAATGGATTCCATTTGAAAGATTTACCAACGTTGAAGATCTTGCAAAAGGAGGCTTTGGGTCATTTTATAAAGCAACCTGGTTGGATGGACCATTATATTATGAATATAATAATCCCAAATGGATTCATGAAGAAAATGAATTCAAACGAAAGGGTGAAACAAAAGTTATGTTGAAATCATTACATAGCTCAAAGCAAATTACGCCAGAATTTAAAGAAGAGGTAAAGAATGAACATTTTCTAAATGAAAGATGCTTTTGTTTCTAATATAATCAAATTTTTCAAAAATAGATTCAAGCTGCACTTAAATGCTATGATTATGGATACTTGATAGCATATTATGGAATGACTAAAAATCCAGTTACAAACGATTACTTGATAGTAATGACTTATGCGTCCTATTTTGAACTTCACAAACATCAAGTGAACTCAAAAATGGAATCGAATACTCATCCTTGTAAAGAATGTATGGGTTGTCAAGAGAATAGATACTGTGATGAGTGCTTAGTTCACAATACTCATGATTGTAGTAAATGTTATCAATGTCAACAAAATAAGTACTGCGATGACTGTCTCAAATATCGCAAACGAATTTATCATGATTTGATGTCTAGCGGAGATAAAGATATCGACAATCTAATAAAAGAATGCAACAAAAATGATTATAAATATAAAAATATATTCGAATGGATTCCATTTGAAAGATTTACCAAAGTTGAAGATCTTGCAAAAGGAGGCTTTAAGTCATTTTATAAAGCAACCTGGTTGGATGGACCTTCATTATATTATGAATATGATAATTCCACATGGAATCATGAAGAAAATGAATTTAAACGAAAGGGTAAAACAAAAGTTATGTTGAAATCATTACACAACTCAAAGCAAATTACACCAGAATTTAAAGAAGAGGTAAAGAATGAACATTTTCTAAATGAAAGATGCTTTTGTTTCTAATACATGTACAATTAAATTTTTCAAAAATAGATTCAAACCGGGCTTAAATGCTATGATTATGGATACTTGATGGCATATTATGGAATGACTAAAAATCCAGTTACAAACGATTACTTGATAGTAATGACTTATGCGTCCTATTTTGAGCTTCACAAACATCAAGTGAACTCAAAAATGGAACTGAATACTCATCATTGTAAAGAATGTACGGGTTGTCAAGAGAATAGATTCTGTGATGAGTGCTTAATTCACAATACTCATGATTGTAGTAACTGTTATCAATGTCAACAAAATAAGTACTGCGATGACTGTCTCAAATATCACAAACGAATTTATCATGATTTGATATCTAGCGGAGA